GCCCTCTTTGGCCACCCAAATATATATGTTTGTCCTTTTTTGTATATTATATATATAATAATAGTTATTATTATTATTATTATTCTTAATCCGCGGTTATAACTTTTAGTACGTAACCGTCAATCCAACCGATCACGTATTAAGGTCGAACCTAAATTCAAAATACCGGGATGTTACAGAGTTTTTCTCAGCAGAGTCAGACATAGAATTTGATGAAAACTCTTTGGTGCTAGATCTGGCATTAAGAACAAATATATCTAGCTTTCATCCCCGTGTCTATGACGAGGTTAGAAGATTTTATCTTCAAAAGGGTCATATTCAACGAAAAAGTCATGCTTTTCCCACCAAAATTTTCAGTGGAAAGAAGCCTAGAGTTTAGGCTTGTTGGTTTAAGAATTATAACCGACTTGAATATAGTGTCTCGAAAGATGATGCTTAATGTCTATATTGCTATGTGTTCAGTAACCGAGGTGGGAGTGATGATGGCTTTATTGGTGAAGGATTTAGAACATGGAATAATTGAAAGCTTTTCATGATCATATTGGTGGGCATAACAACTACCACAATAGAGCTAAAAACAGTTCAGATCTTTTATTAAAGCAAACAACACGAATTGAAGCTTCATTATTTAGACAATCAGATAAAGCCAAAAGAGAGTATCGAATTCATTTGGTTGCTTCACTTGATTGCATAAGATGGCTAGTAGTGAATGGATTATCATTTAAAGGGACAATGAATCTGCAACTTCAAGTATCAGAGGTAACTTTCTCCAGCTTTAGATTTTCATGCTCTTGGTAGAAAAGATGTGCAAAGAGTGGTTGGGAGAAATGCTTCAAAACATCTCCAACTTACCTCTCCAAAGATTGAAATAAATCTTATTCATGGCATGGCTTGTGAAACTACTAAGAAAATTATTGTAGAGATTGGGAATGGTTTTTTTATGCATATTGGTTGATAAGACTCGTGATATATCAATGAAAGAAGAGATGACTATTTTTTTGCGCTATGTGAATTTTGATGGTTGTGTTATGGAAAGATTTATTTGTACTTCTCATGTGCCAAATACTAAAGCTTTGACATAAAAGAAGGAAATTGAAGCAATGCTTTTGAAACATGGATTGATTATGTCGATGTTAAGGGGACAAGTCTATGATGGAGCTAGCAATATGAAAGGGAAATAAATGGTTTGAAGACTTTGATTTTAGCTGAAAATTCTTCTGCATATGTTGCGGTAGCAGGAAATCGCAAAGAAGTTGGCAATTTTTTCACAACAGTCAATATGTGACTAGTTTGGTTGGAGGATCTTGCAAACGAGCTAACATGATTTGGGATAGCCAAACTAGGAAGGTTGCGGAGGATATAGCTACTAATGAACGAGAAATTGAACAAGGATCGAATCAAGAAATGAGTATCAAAAGGCCAAGCGATACTCGTTGGGGTTCTTATTATGGTGCACTTCTCAATTTTGAGAAATTGTTCTCTACTATTATTGATGTGTTGCAGAGAATCGAGGATGATCCAACTACAGAATAGCTAACAACTAGTGATACATGGCAGATGTTGATTACAATTCAAGATTTCAGGTTTCTCTTCATTTTGAAGTTGATAATTGAAGTGTTAGCAATTACGAATGAGTTGTCACTAGCATTGCAAAGGAGAGATCAAGACATTACAAATGCTATGAAACTTGTTTGTGTGGAAAAACTAGATTACAAGAGATGAGAGATCGAGGACACGAGTCTCTATTTGAGGATATTATCTTGTTTTGCACTAAGGAATCTGTTCATGTTCTTGGCGTTGATGATGAGTATGTTCTTCCAGGACGATCAAGGCGCAATGCTCCATAGATCACAAACTTGCATCACTATCAGGTTGAATTGTATTCCTCTGTTCTTGATATTCAACTGCAAGAGTTGAACAACCACTTTGTCAAACTTTGATGAGGTGAGAACTAGGTTGTTGACTTGTATGACTTCTCTTACCCTAGAGACTGAGTTTGCTGCTTTTGACAAGGAGAAGCTGGTAAGTCTTACTCGATTGTATCGTACAGAGTTTGGTCACATTTCCGACTCTTTTATTCTACGAGACTTCAAGAATTATCATCATTATGTTAAGAATGATGAGTTATTTCATGGATTAAGATGAATTGATGAATTATGTTAGCTGATGGTGAAGACAAAAATGAATCTATCATATCCACGGGTATATTTGCTTCTCAAAGTTGTATTGACTTTACCGTTTCCAACTGCAAGTTTGAAAGAACATTTTCAACTTTGGACTACATCAAGAACAAGTTTCGGAATTGACTAGGCGATCAGTTGGTGAATGATTGTCTTATAGAATATATTGAAAGAGATTGTGTTGTGTATTGTAGACACTAAGCATATTTTAAAATATTTCCAGAATATGAAAACACCACGTGATCTTTTGTTGTAACTTGTATTAATTGATATTTTGTCGTTTAATACTAGTAAGATATTTTTCTTATTTAAGAATTATATAATTTTTAATTTTATTTTGAATGAGGACACCCTTAAATAAAATTTATGAGTCCGACACTGGATGGGGTCGCACACTCTGTACATGGCAATCCTCGCCAAGGGGACTCCTCCTCTTGCTACCTCGCTAACTAGCCCGTAGAAGCTCGCGTCCAGACCACGCTTCCCCGCAGCCGTCAATTCCGATGGGTTGTTGGAGGCCCATAAAATCCCTCGCTTCGACTTAAGAGGATTCTTGGCAGCGAGGGATTTCGTCATTGTGTCTTCCCCAAAATGGAATCCTCTGATTCCATATTTATTTTATTTTAAATTTATTTTATATTGTAAAAAATGACAAGTTATTGTGTAAAATTAAAATACTTCCATGTGGCACAGTCAAATATTTGATTTCTTGCTACGTCATCAAAAAATTCTATCTCAGCAAATAGTTTGCCACTTCAGAGGCACCTGACAGTTGACTGGACGGAAAATTGATAATTTTGCTATTAGATTGTTTTTGGAGATGTTTGACTATTATTTTGTTTAAGACAAAAAGTTTGGCTATTTTATTATATTTCTTTTGTTTTGGTGCTAAATTGTAATTTTGGTGGAGCAAGAGGTTTGTGGTTGATTTCGTAGGAAATGATTTTTATTATTTTGTTTTCTTTTCAATTTTAAATTTAAATATAAATATTGGATATTTGAATTTTGATTAATTTTTTTAATTTTCTATAATTTTAAATGATGACATGGCTCATTGATCGGAAGATTATGAAATCGTATCACAAATTTATACTAGAAATGTTAGTGATATAGTATGTTATACTGAAATCATAATTCAACCTATCCATAAGTATAAAATCACCTATCAATTTGTGGTTCGGAACTCGATATTACTCGAAATTGTTTTACACACTGGATATGTTGAATTGCAAAATATAACTCAAAAAGAAAAGGGCTAATACCACTGAAAATACCAACCTTTAGCGAAAGTGTCATTTATATTACGTAATTTCAATAAATACATTAACAGTCCAACCTATTGGGTGTTTGTGTCATTTGTATTACGCGAATTTTTGTTGACCGTTAGATCTAACGGTTGACCTAACGGTGGTCAACCTATATCTGACCATTGATGAGGTGGCACCTATGTGTTGTCCATGTAAGCGACACATAGGAAAAAGTATTTAAATTAATTCTTTAATAATTAAATAATTAATATATTTTAGAAAATTAATTTTTCTTTCACCCGTTCTGCTTCTTTCTTCGTTTTCAATTTCAGAGAACAGAGGAAACCTTCAACTGGTCAATTACCCAAGCTGAAGATGGAAAGCGGGTTTGCGAGAGAAGGTTGTGGCGGATCTCGCCTTTCCTACTCAACCGTACCCTCCACAACTCCTCAATCTTTCAATCTCGATCTCGCCCGCAAATCCCTTATACTCCCAACTAACCTCAACTATGCTCAATTCCCAATCCTCGTATGAATCAATCTAGGTATGGCCTGATTTGAAGCTGAAGCTAGACGATGACCTCGGCTTTCAGTTGCAGACTCGCGGGATTAGACTATTAGAACGACCCACCCTTTTTTTCCGCTGCTGTAAGAAGGACGCCTCTCCCTGCCTCTGAGGTTCTTCCTCTTCAATCTCCCAAACCCAGCCTTTTCGGTGAGTCGAGCTTCTCTTTCGGCGATGGTGGATCGATGACAATGGCGTGGTTGGTGGGATGGCTCAATTGGGTGTCTTGAGAACGAGGAAGAGGAAGAAGAAATAGCCTGCGATTTCGATTAACTACCGCTGGCGGATTAAAGATTGGGAAGAAGGTGGCTAGGTCAGGATTTGGGAGAACTGAAACGAAAAGGATTTAGGGTTCGGGTCGGATTTGGAGGACAAGGGGAGGCGGTGTCTATTCTCGGCAGTGGGAAGATTAATCGATTTAGGGTTGTCCTAACACAAATCTCATAAGCAAAAAAAAAAAAAAAAAATTCATTCCCCCAATCTGCAGCTGAAAACAGAGCCTGGAAGAAGAGGTTGGCGAAGGGGAGAGATCAAGAGAGATGAAGAAGACATTTTCCTTCTTTGCTTTTGATTTTGTTTTGTTTTTTTCTAAAAGTTTTTGGTTGTTTTTTACATTTATTTTTTATTACAATTTTCCACATCAGCTGCTATGCTGACTATATTTTCTGTTAACTACTAACGGAAAACTTAACGACTGGTATACAATTGTCATATCGAAAATTATGTAATATAAATGACACTTTTGCTAAACGTTGGTATTTCCAGTGGTATTAGCCCAAAAGAAAAAGTACAAAGTGGGAAGAAAAGAAAAGAAAAGAGGAAGAAATGAAGAGAGGAGCCAATAGAAAGGAAGGGAAGGGTGGGAGCAAATTGCAAGAAAACGACAAAAGCCTAAAAATGAAAGTTTGTCAGAAATATCTGCAACACACACACAAACCCATCCTCCTTGCTTACACTCTCCTTTCCTCTACGAAACCACACAACCAGAAGTCCAGACCCAGTATACGTACGCGCGCGAAATACACAGCACTCAGGGGAAGGGAAGGGAAGGCCACAGTTGGCAGTTGAGTTGAGTATTCCAGTGAAACTGTAGCCTCGCTCCTTTACCGCCAATAGCCGGTCTTCCTCCGGTTTTCTCTTCCCTTCCTCCGCGCTCCTTGTATGTATGGTATAATAAGGAAAAAGATGACCCAGCTGAACAAGAATGCAGAAGTTTTTAAATAATAATAACAACCACCGAGAGAGGTAAGAAAAAAAAGCTGCGATGGAGGTCGGTGAGGATTGCTCCTGCTAAAATGGAACTTTACTAAACTTGCGTTCTCTCATCTCATCTCCCAGCGACCGCAGTGAACGGGCTCTCCGGCGGGCCTATTCTTCTGTTTTTTTGTTTTGTTTTTGTTGCCTTCCCTCTGCTTCGTATTCATTCAGTACATCATTTTTCTTTTCTTTTCTGCTGGGTTGGGTTGGGTACCGGATATCTGTGCTGCCAATTATCTGCAGTGGAAGCAGAAGCAGAAGCAGAGATATGAAGACGAAGAAGATGCTGATGATAATGATGGCCTTACATTTCTTCTTCGTCATCACCACCACCGCATCTCTTTTACTGTTACCCCTCTGATCCACCTCTCTCCTCTTTATTATTAATACCCACCCATCTCATACACACCCACAAACAGTCTCTCTCTCTCTCTCCAGAGGCTGCTTGCTTCTTTCTCTCTCCTTGCTCTCCTCAGTCATCTCCTCTCCTCTCCTATTTCTTCATTATTACATACAATTTTATTGTTGTTGTTTATTTTGGTAGCAACGCAACCAGCGAGCAATCCCATCTCTTGTTCCACTTTTTTGAGTTTCCCCGTTTTTTTTTTCTTTGCTTTCCATCATTAAGCTTTGGAGAGACTTCTTTTCTGTGGCTTCTGTTCAAGACTCGCTCTGTGCTTTCCCCCCCTCCCTTTTCCCCTTTCTCCTTTCTTTCTTCCTCTTTAGCTATGGCGGAAGGGTATCATGAGGCCTACCATGTCCCACAACAAAGCCGAAGAGATAAGCTCCGAGTTGTGGCTCACAGCAACCAGAACCACACCATTCACAATCATCTCTACGATCCTTGTTCCTTCCTTTCCCCTTCCGATTTCCTCTCTTCCTCTTCTTCTTCCTTCTCCTCTCCTCACAATTTCATGGGCTTCGTCAACAACTACACGGATCCCACTACCAATCCTCATCATCTCCACATAAACCCTAGCAGCTCCGAGATCCACCACCTCCACAACTCCAACGCCCCCTTCCTCAATTTCCCCAACCACCACCCTTCTCCTTCTCCTTACGCCAGCGACGGCCTCATCCTCTTCAAGCCGGAGCCCCTATCTCTCTCCTTGTCGTCTTCCCACCACCAACACAGCGCTGCTCTCGACCTCAATTTCCAGAGGTACCTGCTCCCCAATGTCGTCGGAGGAGGGGCGAGCGCAGCTACCCCGGGCTCGGCTTCCAACGACGTCGTCTCGAGGTGCTCGGATGTGCTTCCTTTGGGCCCCTTCACTGGTTACGCTTCTATCCTCAAGGAATCCAGGTTTCTGAAGCCTGCCCAGCAGCTGCTGGAAGAATTGAGCGCAGCAGCAGCAGGAGGAGGAGGGTTAATGATCCCCGCCGACAGGTTCGTGCCCGACCCGACTTTACTGGATCCTGCCCCGCTCACCGACGATCCGCTTTCCGATATTGGAAGCGAGTCTCGCAGGAAAAAGTCTCGCCTCATCTCCATGCTTGACGAGGTACTAATTCTTTCTCTTCTCCTTTTTTTGCCTTGCAACTGCGCCACGCATTCCCTTTTTCTTCTCCTTTTTGGTTTTGTTTTGTCCGGCGGGGAAGCAGGAAATGAGGGTTAACTTTTTTGAATGACTGAGATCTTTGGCTCTTTAAAGGGGTTGCAGTAGTCGTCATTAATTAATGTGTACAACAAGCACTCTGAGTCTGAGGGCTTCTCTTTGCCCAAATCACATGGATTCCCTTCCCCCAAATGTTCTCTTCTTCGTCTGATGAATACTTGAATGCCTTGAGTGTATCATTACTGCTAAAACCATTCAGTGTAAGTAAGGCTCATAAATGTAATGTAAGTGTAGGGAGGGGGGAGCATCTCTAGAGTCTTTTCTTTTCCCACTGATGATGAACAGGAGGGAGGGTGGGGTGTGGCAGTAGTACTAGTCTGTAGTAGGAGTTTGCAATAAACCAACGTGCAATTGGGTAGTTGTGTGTTGCTGCTATTGCATGAATAAAAACTATTATTATTGCTATAGTGTAGTAGTGTCTCTGGACTGGACTCTGGCTATCTGTTGTCCTCATGTAATTTATAGTTTTTTTTTTGTTTGTGTGGCGATCCATGGAGAGAGAGAGAAAGAGTGAGATATACCTGTGGCTGTATATATGGGCACATTGATCATTGCCTCGGTGATCACAGAGTAACAGTAGAAGAACACCATTAAAAAAATCATCTTTTTTGGGAAAAGCAGTGATCCTGATCATTTGTGCATATGTGGGTGCGATGAGAGCGGACGGAAAGGAGAAGAGTGGCCATGGGAATATATGCACTAAGATTGATTGTGGTAGCGTAGTTTGCTGCTTTCTCTAGCTTTTGTTGGGGGGTTGGGTTTTGTTTTGCAAATAAAGTTGTAGTAGTCTGTCTGACAACCATAATAGCCAGCCAGGTGACAGAAGAAACGATCAATGATCCGCCATGTCTTTTGATGCGTGTAGATAGAGAGCATAACAAAAGTTGATTTGGAGGAATCCCAATTTGATGAAAAACGAGCTTTGTGGTAGTAGGCAGGCCTGGCTTCCCCCAAGGCAAGGGGCTTGCTTCCTTGCTTAGCATATCTAGATATTATATTATTGTAGGAAGGAAGAGAGAACCGATTAAAATAAGTGGATGAGAAGAAGATGACAAATGTTTGCTTGCTTTGGCATTTCCTAAAGATTGGTTCCTGTCCTGGTATAGTGTTTGTGTGGATATATGCGCCCCCCCTGCAAGCTTTTATTATTTTCATTAATGAATTAATTATCAGTTTGGGATGTGATTCTCATCTTTACTACAAAAAGAAGATTATATAAGCTGGAAAGCTAGCATGGGCTTTGGCTTGGGATCGATCGAATAATCTTATTTATTCATTAAAATCAGCATTTTGTTTTACTTCTTTTACTGTCCATCCATTAACTTGCCTCAATCTTTTTCTTGTTCGTCATTTCGATACTCGGCTTCTTATTCTATAATAATAATAATGGTGGTGGTCAGTGGTCTCATGCTACCTACCTATCATTTGTAGGATTTAGTTATAAACAATGATCTTAGGGGATCCAACAGAAAGGGATAACTTGGCTCAGCTATGGAGATAGGCCGCAGATAATCACTCTACTATCTTGATAATGTGTATGCATGCAGCAGCACTTGTATACATGCCGCCATTACTACTCTTTGACTTATCTGTTAGTTATTTCTCTCAATCGTTTTGGTTGCTGTAATGGCTCTAGGTATACAGGAGGTACAAGCAATACTACCAGCAGATGCAAGCCGTTATGACGTCTTTTGAGTGTGTAGCTGGGCTGGGGAATGCGGCCCCCTACGCTAACCTAGCATTGAAAGCCATGTCCAAGCATTTCAGGTCGCTCAAGAGTGCCATCACGGATCAGCTCGGCAAAGCTTCCGGCAAAGACGAAGCCATTGCCGCCAAACTCGCAACCACCGCATACGGCGCTAGGCACGTCCAGAGTTCATCAGGCGGAGTGTTGATGGATCACCACCAGCCCGTTTGGCGCCCACAAAGGGGACTCCCCGAACGGGCTGTCACAGTGCTTAGAGCCTGGCTCTTCGAGCACTTCTTGCATCCGTAAGTCCATCTTGATTAGTTAGTTTAGTTATATTCTGTGTGAATATTTGCTTAGTGAACGTGAATGACTATCATGCCATGTTTTAATTCGTTTTTGTAACCTTAATTTATTATAGGTACCCTACGGACACCGACAAACTAATGTTGGCGAAACAAACGGGTCTCACCCGAAGTCAGGTGACCTATAAATGTAATATGCTTGTTCTAGTTTGGCGAGTCCAAAGTTTTGGTTTTGATGGTGTGGTAATTGGTGGACAGGTATCCAACTGGTTCATAAACGCGAGGGTAAGGTTGTGGAAGCCAATGGTGGAAGAAATACACATGCTGGAGACACGGCAGGCGCACAAGGCTGCGCAAAAGGACGGCGGCAATAGGTCGAGCACGGATCATCCAGCAGCACCGATGTCGAATTCCGACAATAACAACAACACCAACCCGTCAACATCGTCTCATCATCAACGGACCCTGGATGTGCCAATGCCGAAGCGTACGAGGAACGAACTTGCAACTAGTGCAGACATGGCAGCTGTTGGTAGCAATGAGGAGCAACACCATCATCACCACCAGCAGCAACTGTACGTGCAGTCTTACGGCGGAGGGATGTCGGGCAGTGGTCAGTCGCACGTGGGATTGGGGATGGGAGGAAGTGGAGTTTCGTTGACCCTTGGTCTCCACCAAGGGATGGGGCTGTTGGAACCGCCGCCGTCGTTCGCAATAAGCAGTGCGGCGGCTCAGCGGTTTGGGCTGGAGGCCGGCGGGAACGATGGGTATGTGATGGGCGGGTTTGAGGGGTCGCAGAATCGGCATTTCGGGCGGGACTTCGTTGGTGGCCAGCTTTTGCATGATTTTGTTGGCTAACTGGATCATCGTGAAAATGGAAAGCAAAGAAGGAAAAAAAGGAAAAAAAAAAAAAAACAAATAAATACGAGGGTAGCAGGAAATTAAAGTTGGTTAATTAGTAATCCGGACATGTGGTTTTAATTTATTATTATCATTATTATATATTCCATTACATATATTTATATATAATATAGATCGGAAAAATATTCCGGGAGCAAAGAAATGGAAAAGAAGCTAGCTAGAGCGGGGGAATGCATTCAACAGAATCGGAAATGGCCGGGCGGGGATCGATTTCGAGCTTGTAAACGGTGGCAGTGGTGGTGGATTTTTGGGCGTAATTAAGTGAGGAGGCAGAAAAGAGAAAAAAAAAAGTGTATAAATGAAATTCTCCTGTAAATCTTTCATAACTATATATATTATTATATATATTATCAAGCGAGATTAGGGGGATATGTACCTATTCTATTATATTCTATTCTATAGGCTTATCAAATGTCAAGTGGTCGAAATTAAGTTGATGTAGCCCTGGGGAGATGGATTCATCTGGTTTGGCCTTTTTCTTAATTGGTTGCGTGCTGGCATGTAAGGTTTCAGCATCGTCCAACGAAATCTATACAAGAGATATTTTTGAAAAGGCTGAACAGTTTTGATTTTTGTTACGTTCCGTACCAATCTCTGTGCCAACTGCTTTGCTCAACACAATGAGTCAATGGTGGAACATCCCCACTGTTGAAAGCAAGGTTGTTAAACCTCTTCCGGTCGGCTGGTTAGAACTGGTCCGGTCAAAATCGAGTTCCAAAACAACCTTGAGAAAGCTAATGGTCTGACTCCTAGAAAGGAAGAAGAAGAGAAAAGGAAGGGCGGAGGGGATACAGGAAAGGAAGATGGTGCGTATGACTAATGGGGGTTAAGTTTTTAATAGATAAATATAAGTGTTGAAGCCGCGTTACTCCGATCCTCAATTCCTCTCCCTCCGATGTGGCTCCTGTAAATAGGCGCCTGAACCCTGCACCAACAGACGCCTAGTGGGCTAGAGTGGCCCGTTAGCACTCCGACGCTTAAGCTAGAGTCTGCTTTTAGAGAGAGAAGTAATTTCCAACTCTTAGTGAGAGAAACCAACCTGCTTAAATGCTACATACCGAGTACTATTTATACTCGATGAGGCCCCGACCAGGCTCCTGGATTCCAGCTCCATGTCAGCGCATCATTAAATGCCTAGTACGGTCCAACGGTCGGATATCTACACGTGGCAGCTCCCAGACCAGACTCCTAGGCGCCTGGCAGGACCACATCTCCAGGTGGCACGCTCTCAGCTCCTTGGCCTCCTAGCCGCATGGTCCCCGCGTCTATTTTGTCGTTATGCGCTCGGCTCTCTAGCTTTGGGCCCAATTCTTACCTTGTCTTCCCTGTCCTTAATTGGGCCCGTGCCCAATTAAGTCTATTGAGCCCATGTCCCCCATAGGTTTGCCCATATTTATCCAACAATTGTCCCCCAGTTAGGCGCTCATGGTTGAGCATGGGCGCCTAACTATACACAACGCTTGAGTAGTACTTTCCACAGCAAATTACTTCCGTCGTACTTATACAAGCGCCCAACTCCTTTCCCCGCCTTTTTTCCATCCGCCAACCATCCCACGCGCTTTTTACGATTTGGCGCCTGTTCGATTGGAATTATTTCGTGCGCCTATACCCGCCCCCTCGCCGGGCGCATTCAAAATTCGAATTTTGGGTTCCCCAATGGTCATTGAAATTCAAATTTTGAATTTTGAACGGACGGGGAAGGTGAAGGGACTGGACGGCACGCATCCCCATACTTAACCGTTAGAATTAATTCGTGCGCCTATACCCGCCCCCTCGCCGTGCGCATTCAAAATTCAAAATTCGAATTTTGGGTTCTCAATGGTCATTGAAATTCAAATTTTGAATTTTGAACGGACGGGGAAGGTGAAAGGACTGGATGGCACGCATCCCTATACTTGACCGTTGGGATTCCTCTCCCTATAAAAGGAGTTGTCCGCCACCCACTCCAACCATTTGCTCGCCCCCCTCTCTCTCTTCGCCTCTCTCTCTATCGGCCAGGCGCCCCCCTTTCCGCACGCTTACGCGCCTCCTTCTTTTTCTGTGTGAGCGTCTTCCTCCGAGATTTTTGAAAACCCACATCATGTCCGAAATGCCTAGCCCAGGCGCGCCCTCTGGCAATCCTCCACCCGCCGATAGCCAGGCGCCCGATGTGATCAAACTTTTGGAGAAGCATTTCTCCCCTGATCCCAACAGAGAGTCGGGTGGGTGGACTCCTGGTGGGAGCAAAGCGGCGCCATCCAAAGAAGGTGGCTCCTCATCGTTGGCGGCGACCAATAGCTCTCGCGGGAAAGCTATTGCGGTTGAAGAGGCGCCTACCAAGCAGACCAAAGCGCCCAGCCAGCCAAAGTCAAGTGAGTTTCGCTCACTGCATTTTTTTTTTCTTTTAAAAAACTCATGCGCCCTTAGTCATCTAGGATAGAAGAATTGACTATGCCCTATTTGCATCCGCGTTATAGGCCATGCGCCTGGATCTTCTGAATCGTCCGAGTTGGAGGCGTCCCCTCTATCGACCGACTCAGGCACCTCAGAGCCCGTGAAAATAATTCTCTGGGCCGACACCTGGCCCTCAGGGGAAGCGCCCCTTGAAACACGCCATATGTCCATCGCGGAGGCCGGGCCGTTGCGAGTATCGACAATTAAGGCGCTCGAGTTGGAGAACTTGGTTGTGTCTATGCAACTTCCACGCGCCTGGTCTTTTGCAACTGCGCCACGCGTGGCAAGGATTGGAGTGGTCGGCCCTAATTGGCTTGGTATCTATCGAGAGTATTTTCGATTTGGCTTGCGATTTCCCTTAGATTCCATCCTAGAGGGTATTCTCGAGCTATGTCGATGCTCGCTTGGGCGCCTGTCCCCCTCTGTTTTCCTAATTCATATTCTTTTCAAGTTGAAGTGTAGGCAGCATAACGTAGAGCCCACCTTCAAACTGTTTCACCATTTCTTTACCATGGTTCATAGCGACAATTGCCTGTCCTTGCAAAGGCGCCTTGATATTCCCGGACATTTCTTAGTGGATTCCCCAAAACTTGGCCGGGAATGGTTTAGAGCCTTTTTCTTCATTAAGCCTCGCAAAGGGTCATTTTATGAGAGTGGGCGCTCATTCACTCGCGGTTGGGCAGTTGGCGACGCGGAGGCATTCAATGTTGAGGCGCCCTTGACAACGGACGAGGAAATTGAGGGCGCCCGCCTTATATCCTTGCACCCTATGGACTTGAGCTCTACTGCATCTAGGACGCCTGTTCTTCACGAGTATTACCGCGATGGTGGGCGCCTACAACATGTTGTGTTTTTTTTTTATTATATTTTTTTTTTAACACTCATTGTCATGCGTTTATGTGCAGGTGCGGACTTTACTTCCATGGCTACTCTTATGAAAAGCCAGTTTGCCAAGATGGGAGTGGCGGCCAAGGTAGCGCCCAGCTCGAAAAAAGGCCAGTCTAAAGGCGCCCAAGCTTCGAAGGGTGCTTCGTCAAAGGTAAATAAGGATGTTGCTAGTCATTCACAGGCGCCTGGCGCCCAAGAGGTGAAGGGAAAGGGACGGGCAAGCAAGAAAAACAAGTCCCCCAAAAAGGTCAAACCAGTTCAAGTTCCGAGCGCCCCCTCAACCGATGTTGGAATAGACCTCGTGGATCAAGGTGACAAGGCGCCTGTTGAACTGCTATCGAAGGGAGCATCGGTGTCCATCGACCTACTTCAAGACATCGAAGTAGAGGAAGATGACGTTCCTTTGCTCCAACGGATGAAGAGGAAACCTGAGAACACAGGCGCCCAGGATGTATCGAGTAAGAAGCCCCGGGTTGAGGACGATACGCCTCTTCCGGAGTCAATTCAAAAGTGGCTGCAGCCTCCCAAACATAAGGTGACCGTAGAGTGCTCCGATAGGTCTGCTTTGGAGCGTGGCCCCGCGATTCACATGGCCTTGGCGGCCGGAGACGTGCTTAGGGCGCCCCTTGACCTGGCAGGCGCTGATCCATGGGGTGAAATGTGCCGAATAAGCGCCCACGTAAGTTTTCCTTTCCTATTCTTTTACTAGGTAATCTGTTAACCTTACTTCTAATTGGCATATGATCCCCTTGCTCATTTGTTATGTAGATGATGGTCGTGGCCAAGAAGGGTCTCTTAGAACGGGAGGCTCTACGCGCCTCATGTCATGAGGCGTCCACCTCCCTTAGCGTTGCTCAAGACAATCTCGCTACAGCGCAGAGGCGACAAGCAGAACTGGTGAAGATGTGCGAAGAAGCTCAGTTCGAGGCGGCCAAGAATGCTTCACTCCTTCAACAGTTAGTTGATGAAGAGAAGAGAAAGCTGCGAGAAGATTATGAGGGGCGCCTGGAGGTCGAGAGGAGGGAGCGCATTGAGCAAGTATCCAAGTTAGAGAAGGAAAAAGAAGACTTGGAGAAAGAGGCGGGCGCCTATAGGAGCGAAATTGATTTGCTCACTCAAGAGAAGGGCGATCTGAGGAAGGAGACTAATCGCTTGACAAGGGAGAATAAGAAGTCGGCGTAGGATATTAAGGTACTTGAGGAGGAAAAGCAGGCGCTTGTGGTTGAAAAGGAGGTGTTGGAAGCTCAGTCGGCGGACTTCGCCAAATCCGAAGCAGGACAGGCGCTTAAGGCTCAGGCGGCCTTGAACTCCATTTTGATCCTTCAGAAGAAATTGACCGCAGATCACCCTGACATCGATTGGGACATCCAATCCATGGTGGGGTTTGTTATTTCTTTTATGGAGAGCGGGCGCCCCGTGGATGAGCAAGCGCCTGAGGATGATAATGGTGAAGGCAATAACGAAGTTGAAGATCATTCCTCTTCTGACTCCGAGAGTGGGTCAGACGAGTGACCATAAACGTGCGTCCATCAGTCGCACTTATGCTTAAGACTTTGCACTTTTTTTTTTTTTGGGTGCGCCTACTACTTTATCCATCTAACTATGACGATGCTCTTGTTTGGTTCTTATCACTTTCTTTTGCTTAACTAATGTTTTCTCTTTGAACTTGGGCGCTATATATGGGCGCTTTATACGGTGCATTTCTAATAAGGTGCTTTTCTCCCCGCGAGCGCTTTTCTCTCTTAACCCCGATATTATGTAAGGGCGCGAGGAGTTGGCGCTTTATATGGCGGGCGCAATGGATGGGCGCTTTATATGAAGGGCGCAGTAACTTAGGCGCTGCTCTTGCATGCTTTCTCAATACTCAATTTCATATTTAATTAATCCGATGTTGCCAAAATATGGGCGCAAACGAGGGCGCTTTACAAAATAAAGGGCGCTATAAGGAAGGGCGCTTTACTTCTACGGCGCATTAAGGCGCTTTTGGAGAAA